GAATCTTTCCCGTTATATCTTTTGTTTGTAACTAGTCCTGCCGAACTGTTCCCTTAATTGTCTCATTTTGCACCTTTCTTATATCCTTCCGCTTTCCTGTCGAGGAACCTTGCTCCGACTTATCCCCGGAATATCTTGGGGACGTCGGTATTTTCGTTTGTTACATATATATATGCGCGACATAATAATTTATCTACCCTAATAATACTAGTACAGTAACATATATCAATGGCTAATCTCAAAATAAAATAATATACATCAGTTTATATATATATATGTATGTATGTATATATCGTAGAGACTCTAAATTCGAGAAATCGCCTGCGGTATTTCCAAAGTTTTAGATCTAAAGATAAAGAATAAATTCCTGCAATGAAAGGATGATAGAACGTAATTCGACCAGCGAACGTAGTTCGTTAAATGATCACAGAATATACTTCGTAACAGCGCACGTCTGATGGAATGATTAAGTAATAGACGATTGTCTAGGGATAATAGATCCTGTCTACGTTATCCGTCAGCGAGAAGGGCCACGATATTCCTATAAATAACATAACGATATAATTCCATAGTTGAGAAGGCACATGTTTGCAGATATGTTTAGGTGTACTGGCGATATAGTCTTAGAGACATTCTCAGATAAAATCGATATTACGTACTACAAATGTGATTGATAAAATAATAGATCACGAAGCGTGTAGAGTATGGAATGATAGAAAATCATATAAAAATATCATAATAAATTTAAATAATTGGTAAGTACGATATCAATAATATATCGCAAGTAAGGCAACAAAGATTCATGTCCCTTCTAGAGTGATACTTAAATGCGAAGTAATATCGTCAATATATGTATAATATATCCTGCGGCTTATAGAATATTCTTTGGAAGCATGCGTGGCAAGAGAATAAAAATGACGCCGTTTTCGAGGCCCCCTCGCATACTCGGAGTGTCTTACAATAATAACAGAAGACAGTGCCCGCACTTGCTTCTATTTGGTCCTTTTATACCCGTTTTACGCTCTCTTCATCGGTCGTCCGATTATTAAATCATACAAACCGAATGAGCGAGGAAGAAGAGCGAAAATATTATTTAAAATCGATTTCGATTTCTTCGAGACTGGAAGTATCTACTATCATCGATCGATGAGTATCGATCTTTCTAACGTATCTTTTCGCGAATTTTATGCTAGCTGATTTAGGTCACGTGGATATCTGAAACAGAAAACAAAAAGAAATACCCTGTTAGTTCATATATACCATTAATTAATCGATGGAAAAGACTTGAATACAATTTTATAAGTTCGTAACGTAATAGCTGTTAAAAATAAAGTTCAATTAAAATGTATATAAGTCTTTTCCAGTCCTTTGTAAAGGTATTTTTTGTCTATCGACTCGACACTCACCTCACCCTATAAATCCTGCTGCTAACGATATGATGAGAGCTAGAAGCCCGGTCAGCATTTGACCAGCTGTCGAAACGACCGGCGGCGACGCCGCATTCTCGACCACGGTGCCCGGCAGGAAGTAATCCTGCGCGGTCAACCTGTCACCATACTTATCCAGCAATACCATAACGACTCCGTTCGACCAGCCGAAACCAAGTTGTACTTCGTACTCACCTCCACCTCCGTGGCCACCCGAAACGGTCGCGTCGTACTGCCAACAAAATTCCCTCGCGTTAGAAATTCTTTTTCCAGAAGACAACTAATTCGGCAAAAAAAATCTTAAAAAATTAAGTGATTTCGACATAAGCTTCATTTATTTTTAAAATTGCGATATACAAAAATTTATATTCTTTATATCGTCCTGTTTTCGCCTTTCTTCATGGGAATTACCTTTTCGTACATGCTGTGCGTCTCGTTGAAAGCCTTATAGTTGCTACGGACCCATCTCTGGCTGATCTCGTAGGCCAATCTCTGCGCCCATGGGTCGCCCGTGTTGTTCAACGACATGACGAAGAAATACTGGAGAGGCGGCCAGGCATTGGGATAATCCCATTGTTCGCCGGAGTGTTCCAACGTCGTCGGTATGCCGCCCTGATTCAACATGATCTGATTTTTCTCGAGGTACTTGAGCACCTTCGACACGTATTCGGTCCTCTTCGAAGTGTCGTAGCAGTCCGTCCAGAGTGGCAGGATGTTAGTCGGATAGAAGTAGTCCCGCTTGATGTCGTTCAGCATATCGTAGTCCAACCAGACACCCACCTCCTCGTGCCACAACACCATCCTGATCGCCTCCTTCCACTTCTCGGCCAGGTCGTCGTAATACGCGGCCTTCGTCTCGTTGCCCATCTGACGATTGTACTGCGCCAGCAGCACGGCGTTTCGTTGTATTATGGTATTCAGATCGACCGGGATTATAGATCTGGTCTTGAGATTTGTCAGATTACCTGGAACCCGTCTCGCTAATCAGTCTTCAGTTTCCCCGAGCTCGCTCCTACGAGCTCTCGTTATATCGAAGCGCGATTCGTAAAGAGATCATTATGACAATTTTTATATAACACGCGTTTTCAATTTCGTTATGGAATTGAGCAAGGTAAGACGGTTAAACGACACGATTCAACGATCTCAGTTGCAACACGGACTTTTGCGAAAATGAATTTTAGAGTACCGACGCGCCGCAAACAATGCTTTCACTTAGGAAACGAGACGGAGGGCCTTGAGGCGCGCGCGCGCGCGCGCAGATCTCATTGGAGATACGATGTTTAATGTGGAATAGCACAATAACTGTGGGAAATGCTATACGCGCGTATATGTAATACGTCATCATAGCTTCGGTTCGATCCATTAAAAAAAATTATGACGAACAGGAAAAATCACGACAAACAGGATAGCGCTTCTTGAGCTTCTTTTACTATTCGATATTAACTGAGCGTCGCACGGATAATCAAAGAATCTGCGTACAAAAAGTTATTCTAGTTGCATTCTACATTCTTTTCCTACACGTATATATAAACATCTCTTTCTTTCCACGTTGAATTAGAGAGATATCATTACAATCTATGTAATTAGCGCGGTGTCATTTTCTGTCGACTCTGTGACAATAACGCTTTTATCCAGCCGCCAAAGCTATTTTAATCGTTACTTGCGAAGACACGTGTAATAATATTACTGCGCCCAACGTCGCTCACCCATAAAGACTTCTATTTTCATCGCGCGGGAAGCAATTAAAGAATGATAATTACCCTTGTTGGTACCCTCGTGTACGAACCATCGACTGGAAAAATCCCATCCGGACTCGGCCGCCGTTTTCAATTCCGCATAATAATTATCCTTCTCTTCGGCGGTTCGAAAACTTTGACTCGTCAGATAGTCCTCCCTAATCATCAAGTCGCGAGATTAGAAAATCAAGTGGATGGACCAAGTCGGAATCAACGTCGGGAGTGAAAATAGCGTCGCTAATTATTAATATAGGGCTAGCAAAATTAACATTGCGTCTTGCACGACGGTCAGAATCTCTCGCGAACGATGCAAGTGCAACGCACAAAAATTAACGCTTACCAATCCGACATGAAGGTAATGAGCATAACAATATCATCAACAATAATATCCCCGTGTACGCTTCAACTCTAGATCATTTAGCTCATCCACGGCTATTACCGGAAGGGCCGCGGAAGTCACCGGTACTCACTTGTAAGATTCCGGCCGGGGACCCGACGACTCCTCGTAGTATCTGGCGAGCGTGTAGTTGACCCCGTCCAACTCGATGTCCACGGTACGGTTGGTCAGCCAGAAGTTGAATTCCTTCTCCAGCAGCCAGAGATTCTCTTTCAGCCAGCCGTCGTCGTGCGTGATCTTGAGATACTCGTCCACCATGGGTATCAAGAGCGGCGGGTGCGAGCGCATCGCGTAGTAGATCCTACCGCCGTTCGGTATGTGACCGATCTTGTCCACTATCGAGACAAAATTGTTCAGCATGCCCTTGACGGTGCTGTGCATCTCGGACAGCAGCAGGCCCCTGATGATCCAGTACGAGTCCCAGTAGTAGAACTCGCGGAAACGCCCGCCGGGCACGATCACCGGATGCGGCACGTAGATGATCGAGTAGAGCTCCTCGTTGATCCTCACGTCGTCCCGCATCTTCCTGCCCAGCAGCTTCCAGATGTGATTGAGATCGGAGCCGAACTTCCGCAGCTCGTCGTCCTCGATGTTCTGCAGGAACTTGGGAGTGGCCGTCCAGTCGGCCGGGTCCCAGTCCTCGAACTCGTGGCCGGGCATCTCGAATGTGTCGTTGATGAACTTCTCCACCTGCTGCTTGTTCGGCACGTAGTTCATGCTCTTCATGAAGGCCCGGAACGACGCCAGCGTCTCGTTCGCCGGCCGCTTCATCTTCATGTCGACGAAGTACTTGGAGTCCTTGTATATGCCGGTCATCTGTATCGTGTGCAGCAGCTCGCCGTGGCAGTATATCTCACTGGAAAGGCACGGTACATGGCTACTTGTCTACTCGATTCGAGCACGAGACCCTCTCGATCGCGTGCGATTGGTCTCGCGACCGCGGTCTCTCTCTCTCTCTCTCTCGCCGGGATCGCGGGAGTGTTACGTGGATGAAATCCACGCAGGATGAACTTTGCACCGGAGTAAAAAGAAAGGACGAACGCGCGTGCCTGAAGAAATAATGAACGCGACTGCTAATTTTCATGACTTGTGGCCGGAGCTACGGTAGCAACACGATAACGACCACGAAGAACGTGGAAACTTGATTTACACAGGAAGTTTCTGTTGTCTACTAATTATTTTCATAGGTACGACATTAATTAGGTGGCCTCCTTTCACCGCGATGCAAAATCAATCCTGTTGAAGTTGTGTTAAGGTCCCGAACTGCGGCGTAGTAAAAGTTAAAGTTTGCGCGAAGCACGCTTTTCAACTACTCGCGGTTTTCGCGGTTGGATCGACATCTGGACCAATGTCTCGACCTCCAGCTAAGCCGGAGATATTTTAGAACGCGCAATCTCTCCAGTAAGGATACAGGAAGTTGTAGCCTCTCTAATTGTGTGAGAATAAAGGAGCTGTGACTTCTAAATTGCGAAACAGGATTATATCTATTAGTCGATCGTTTATCCTCATAAACAACGTTGATACGTCGATAAAAGCAACATGTGTAAAGAATTACGCGCTTTGCTTAATAGTAGCAAAATTCCGATCCCGCAATTACACCGTTTTATTTTTTTCCTATGAATTGTGAGGCAATTGCAAGTATCCTGCATTCACTTCCGGGTACACCTTTAGCTAGGCCGAAGCGGGATTAGATCAGAGCTCATAAAAAGAACGTATTCATTCGGACGAGCGTAATATTTACGCAGTAAGAACGTCGTCAAGTTCTGTAAATATAAAAATTCTCTCGGTCGCAATTATTAAAATTACGAAACCACAAAGCGTAGCGAGCGTAAATGTCAAAAAGCGTTCAAAAGCTTCGTGCGACATTTCTTCATATCAATTTGTTAGGAAAAAAAAATTCTAATCTCGTGAGCCAACGTAAGCGCGAGAAGACGCACGGGTTTCTTCTCTCGCGCTTCCGTTCTTCTTTCTCTCGCCCCGCGCGTGGATTATTATTTTTCACCAATCTCGCACGCGCCGGGCGCGATATCGCGCGGATTCGCGAACACGTAGATCGGGGGCCCCGGCCATCTACGGATACGTGCGAAATCGCCGCGACTCCCATTTTCCCGGACGGCCTTGGCGAACGAGATCCCCGCGCGCGCACGTGGTCGCGCGTTCCGCGGCTAGGAGTGAAATCGATCGGTGCTATATACGCTTTGCCGCGCGGAATGGAAGAGATCCCGCGCGTTCGCGTGACGGTATGCGCGAGGCGGCTCTCGCGAAATGTGCCGCCTCATTATCATTACTAATACGCGCGCGCGCGCGCTCTGCGCGCTCGCCTCGCGAATACGCGAGGGATAACGTTTTTTTTCTCTCCCGCTCGCTGGAAACCGAGAACCGATCTCCGCGCGTCGCCGGCACCGCCGTGTTACGCTTTAACGAGATTACCGCGAGAATTCGCGGCAGAAGCATGCAAATTTCCTCACGGAGGAGCGCCTCCGATTCGCGAGCGCCTGATTGTTAGTCCGCGTGCCGGCACGATCTCCTTTCAGCGCAAATATAATTATCCGCGTGGAATAATTGCACGCATGGAAGTGACTTCTAAGAAACACACGTCGCCGTAATACGGGAGTAATTTTAAAAAGGAGAAGGTGTTTACATATCTCTGAAAAAATCGGAAATGCGATTGTTAAGTTACCGTTGTCTCGGTAAACCATTCCTAGAAGGACATTATTTAAAGAAGTTTTTTTTTTCCGTGTCAAGCCTAGTTGCTCCGTCAGATTATCTATGTTAATAAATTTTCAAATGAATGGAAACGATGGCGTGTGGGAATGATAGCGCGATTTTATCATTTGCGTCATTTGTCCATGATAATTTCGCGTTTGAACACACATTCGTATGCCTACGATACCCGCGGTCATCTAGATTTCACCGTTTCTCTGTCACATCTAACGCGAGCTGGTTACTAATAAACCCCGCATGTCCGCGATTATGTTCGACGCGTTGCTAATTAGCACGCAACAATCTATTTTTAATGACTAGCTTCTATTCATTATTCTTTCAAAAAATATATAGATTGTTTTTTATGTCAACTGTGCACTGAGAAAAAAATGTTCTGGATTTTAATAAATATTAGTTTGCATACAACTGTAACTCCATTTACTAAAATAAAGAAAATTTTCCTTTTTATCAGTATATGTGTATTCACTGAAAAAAAAAATATATATTAATAAAAAAGGAAATTTTTCTTCATTTCAATAAATGCATGAAGTCACAGTTGTACGCAAACTAATACTTACTAAAATCCAGAACATTTTTTTCTCAGTGGACGTACAAAAAAAATTATCATGGAAAATAACGAAAAGGAATAGATGAATTATTGCGAACAGGTTCCACGATAAGATTCGAACAGCCGTGTCAAGTGCAGCGGGTCGCGCGACATCGGCGATTAGATCTTTTCATTACACGTCGATTTAATTAATATGCCAAACGTGATTGCGTCCCAATATTGCATCATCCGACGCCGCGACGGAAAAAATCGTCCACGACTACTTTTCGCTAGAAGATCTGCATTTGACGCACTCATTATACGTACTCATTAGCCGCCGGATATGAATATTCGTTTACGTGTAAGCGAACGCGCCGTCGAACTGGATCTCTCCCTGCGAAAAAAACCCGGTGCGCATCTCAGATTGAAATGTCATTGCGGTCTTGGCCAAGAAGTGGCCTGATCGCGCCACTTTATTAAGACGTCACTCGAAAGATCTCCGGAAGATTCAATTTACTGAGCTCCAAGCGCGTTCGGCGTGCCGCCACTCGTATCCTTTTATACATCGTGTCGTGTTATCACGTGCCTTCGTCACGTCACAGAATAGCTCGAGCCAAAACACGCGTCCTCTCGATGACAAAAAAAAAGAAGAAAAGAACCAGAAAGCCTTTCGACAAAGATCAGCAGTTTATCGTTGTCACGATCACGGAATGCATTTACCGGATATACCCGGCGCAATGCTATCTCGGAGACGTGATTCGGATAATTCTGCCTATGTCGCGACGCGCTTATACTCGGCAAACATGTTTGCATCATGTGACGCGCAAGGCGCAGAATAAAGTCCTTGCTTTCTTGGAAGAGACATCGCCGAATTTTACGTTCGCGAATTAGCGGGCAACTCCACGCCGCGGAACCTATAATCGTCCGCAAATTGCGAGGAAGAGGATTATTAAAAAAGAGATTATTATATCTTTTTTTTGTAGCAGTTTTACACCAAGAAACAAATATCGGAAACAGATTTCTTCGTTGAACGATTCTTCTCTGCATTGCGGAAAATGTTGCGTAAATTTTGAGGTGGCGCGGCGCCAACATTCGCAAGATTTGCAAATGCACGCGAAAATGTTCGATGTCTCTAGATATCCCGATACGAGGTAAATGCTCCTGACTTGATTTGACATTCTGCCCAGAATATTCCTTCTAAAATTGTGCCAGTCAAATCGGGCATAATTATATAAACTTCGTTCTACGTAACAACAAAATTCGAAATTTTAACAGTACTGACCGCTTTATGTCGATTGTAAATATATATCGGAAGGTAGTAAATTTCCTCGGACAGCTGTGTTCGAAAGAGTATGCAGAATTATAAAGAGCGCGATATCGTCCACGGCTTTATCTTACGTGGTATTAACAAGTCGATACCCTTCATTGCCCGCTTCGCTTAAAAACCGTGACGTATCTGTAAAAAGGAGTTTCGCAATACCGCCAACCTGATTCCTTTCCATGCAGCACCGAGTAATCGTTCGGTTAAAAATACGTTACATATCGCGAGTAAAATATTTTTAGAAACAGGATGCCACATATACATACGTAATTTTGACGACGTGCTCAACGTCTGCGTTTAAACGAACGTGAAAAAATCGAGGAAAGCTCGATAATTCTGTGTGCCAGCCTACGCTAAGTACTTGCGCGATCTCGGCGCGCGGAAAAACGAAACAAAAACCGCCGAATCCTTAGGGTAGAGATGCTGGGTAGAGGCGCGTCATCGATCGCGCGAGTGAAAAGTTTCCGTCGCAAATCAGCGTATCACGAGGCCCACCATTAGCATGTGGGTACATGCACGTGCAGAAACGCTGCTAAAGGTCACCGCTCATTGTGCTTGCGGAACACGCTAATTTAGAGTCCAACTTGCCACGCGCCTGATTCCGGGACGAGGTTCATTGCTAAGGTCATTTCCCTAAATGCTCGCGTCACGCGTGCGCCCGCTAATGCAACAACGCGTACGTAGTCCCGTGGTTTTTTAAAGCGACACAGATTCCTTAGTGCGTCAGAGGCACACGATTATACTGTATAATCGCGTCGCGTTATATACGAGGAAAAAAAAAAGCGCAAAATTTGAGAAGCGGCACGTTTAGATCCAACAGGGAGAACATTGTTCTCTCTAGTTTCCCCTGAAATCACGTTCACGATTGTTCTTCCGTTGATAATTAATTTTCCATGATTTATCTTCCGAATAATTATATTTCTTTGCAAAATGAAGTAACGATAAATGTGAAAGAAACGGCACGTCGATCTAATTTCGGAAGACTATTTTTCCACGCATATTTCCGCAGCACGTGGTTCGCGTCCACGTCAAAATAAAATAGGAATCACTTGGGCAAAGTCCCAGGTAACAGAAATGCTACTAACAATGCTACGAACATTTTAACTTGCAAATTATGAAATACTACTGCGCTTAGAACAATGACGTATTTTTGACAAGTGAATAACGTCACGTGGGAAAATATATATTTTGTAAAAGTTGCACGAGAGAGAATGTCTCATAAAATTCAAATATAGATAATGCAAAGTCTAGAAAAAATGGAGTGACACGATGGCGAAGCGATTTTTATTATTCGCTAGTCTATTTATGAACGATACGTATGTGACGCGACTTATAATTTTTGCCGCCGCGTGAACGACGTGCCTCGTCGTTGTCGACGAATCATTTGAAGTCTCGTGACATTTCCTCGAGGTGTATAATATTTAAGACAGGTCAGCTGTCGGAATTTACTCGTCTAACGTCGTAGAGATGTGATTTTCTGACAAATAGCCAGTGACGGATATTTAAATGGGCGCAAGCTTTGAACTTACTCAAAACTTTGAAGTTCACGGTTCTATATCTTAAACAAGAAAAAATCTATTTGTCAAGAAATTATGAAAAACAAATATATTCTACTTCCGAAAAAAGTTTCGTGTTTTTGAGGAAAGTTGAGAGTTGCAATGATATTACCAAGTTGACGATTATGTTGAAATTCCACTTGTGTCATTCTATGCGCGATTGACTTTTGGCAACTATGTGTGGATTTTTGTTACATCCCCTTTCGGTCTGTTTCTAACAACAGAATAATTTGAAATCAAATGCAACAAGCAAACCGTATTTTTCAAAATTACGATGAGGGAGCCATAAACAAAATATTTTCATTTCGTGGTCAGTAAACATTTCCAACTCTAACTGCACAGTGTCACATTTTATGTTTCAAAAAATTACATCGCCGTTAAATATAAACATTGTCGGCGATATGTAAACTTGGCTGGAAGTTCGCGCGAGCTCTTGCCTCGTTTCTTTATGTAATAGCCAGTAGCTTCACATGCATACCATATGCAATAATCCTAACTAATTAGTCCTGCGTCATTTTGTAATTCCACTTCTGCAAATGATGGTTAGTGAGACAGGTATACGATAATTGGGATATGAGATTTTATGCAATTACGCGTGCCTAACGTAATCGCTTACGTGTAAAGTCATTGGCGTAAAGCACTCAATTTTGAGTGTCTAAAGGCCATTGCACGTAACAAACTTTTAGTCGTAATCGTAAGGCCATAAGAAGCCTATTTTCTTACGGTCTTACGATTAAAACTAAAACTTTGTTACGTGCAATGGCCTTAACTCTGACAAAATCTATAATATAAATTAAATAATAAGCTTCCTTTGGAAAATTCTCAAATGTTTCATTCGAGATGTTTTTCCCTCGTCCTCGTCCGCTTTAACGTTAATTAATAACGAATGTTTATCGAATGAACTAACGCGATATATTTATGAGGACAAGCAATGAGCTAATGAGTAAATCGCTGGTCGCTTTAAACTATAAGGCAGATGTCAATGTTGAAAATGTCCAGCAACGTGCGACGGAAAATATTACTTAACCGCAGTTTATCGCAGTTTCGAAGGCCAACGACAGCAATATCGGTTTCTAGCGTTAATTAACCAAGTATCTGTTAACAACGAGCGATTTCGCCATCGCGAGCGATGGCACGGTCGCGAAAAAGGAGAGGGTGCCGACATTTTTCGAATCGAGTTCTTGGGGTGGGTCGAGTAAACGAGTGGAGGCATGAATTTCGGTTGGTTTTTCTCTGAGACACTTACCTTGAGCACGGGGATGGTTTCGTCGTGACCGTGTTATCCGCGATAGCTGTGCTCGGAAGAACGACGAGGAACGTGAAGAGCGCAGCGTGCACCACAGGACGAAACATCAAAACGGAGCATGTCGGGACCATGGCCATTTTTTTTTCGACTATCGGTTTTCGGCGCCTCTCTCTCTTGGTCTCGTACTATTATACGTGAGTGTGTACGATCTACCTTTACTCTTTCCTTTTGTTTCTTACGTCGGTGTGTTAGTCAAATAATATTCGCGATCCGGTTTTTTTATGTTACACAAGCACGCGCGGAGAAGCACGGGCGGATCACTCTTATTCTTGAGGTTTTATTCCTCTCTTGTTCGACTTTTCCGTTTCTTTTTTTTTTTTACTTTTTATTATTTGTTAAACCCGGCTCGATTCGACAGTGTCTCTCGTGTTCCGCTTTTTCGAGCGAGGGATACGAAAGTGATGACGCGCGCGAGTGATGATCCTGACACGAGTGATCCTTACTTTTTCGTGATCAATTTCGGATGCGGGCCCACGAACTTTCGCAGCCGACGGGGTGGTCTCAGCTCCAACAGCGAAACCGCATCTCCCCTGCAACAAAAAACGCAAAGGCAAACGTTAGAGACGTTGAAGTCCCGCGAGAGGATTTTTCGCTGTCAATTAGTATCGCAATCACACACTTATGTCATTTACATTCTAGATTCCTCGTCGCTACGATTGAACGTATATGTAAGGCGGAATCGGTAGAACACGCCGAAATGAAATATCTCGTCGAATAAATTTAATTTTGATTGTAAGATTTTACAACGCATCATCGCGCTTTGCAGACACGTAGATGTCGAAACATAATCGAAATGATCGAGTATTTTGTCACTTTTAATAAACTCAGAAAATGGAGAAACCTCTTCAACGCACGCACGGATATAACTGCTCAGTTCTCTCACTGCGTTTTGACTTCAAGGAAACGTAGAATCGTCCGCCAGCGATACAATAGTATAATACCAGAACCGGTAAATCGATCGCAGTACTCTCATTAGCTAACTGCATGCACTCAACGCGTTTGAATTATGCGGCGAGCTGTGATTTGTGAGTCGCATTAAAATAATTGGGTATGCATTATTGCGTCGATCATTGAGACGATAAATATGCACAAAGAACGATCCTGAAGATTTATCGCGATTAATCATTCGCGAATAATTCGACGAATTTATGAGAGGTAATCACTTTTGATTTAATAAATAAAAATAAATAAAAAAAAGCGAGTTTTTTTTATATCTTTACAGCGGTCATTTTAACGCCAGATTGCGAGCAAAGTCGACCTCGACGAGGAACCTTGAATAATTTGAAACATTTCTCGGAATATTAATTGAAAATATTATACTTGAATTCTGTAAATTAATTACAAAACACATAATGTATATTTGTACTGATATTGCGACAATACCTGCGTACAAACAGAGTTTTAAGCCGCAAATTTTATAGAATTTATCACAAAGGATTCGTCAATATAAATGTATCGAGACTTTCAATAAATCCATCGAAAAAATAAATGTATGATAATGATTTACTCGTTTCTTCACGAATTTGAGAAAATTAATCTCGAATTTGAATTACTTAATTATTATATATTATTAAAACTTAATAATACAACATACTTATTTTATGTTATAAAATTTATATATTAAGAGTTTATTTATGTTACTAAAATGTGTTATTAATAATTCAGTTTTCTTGAGTGCTTAAAAAACAATTAGTTACAACATGTCTACTTAACGCTTTGATTTGAATTGATAGCACACAAAGAGAGATTTATGATAAGATCTTTGATATAATCAAAATTGAGTAAGGTAAGATTGTGAGCAGCTGCAAAATTCCGACCGTGAGTCTCGAGACTCACGCGTTTTATTTTCTGCATGATCGCTCGTCGTTGAAACGTGTGTGTATACGTGTATCAGCGACATGCTCGTTAAGTTTGTCAATACCGGTCACCAAATTGACATCACTCGCGCTTATTTCCGTCCCTAAATGGCACCGGCTACATTTAGCCACGGAGTAACCACGAGTGCGATACGTGTCACCTGCTTGTTCTCGGTATGATGCACACATTAAAAAGGCAGATAAAGTCAACATTGAATGACGAGTATTATCGAACGATTATAATTTCGCGACAAATAAGATGCCACGATATAAGAGAACTTTCCTCTTTCTCTCGCAAATACTAATTAAACAGTCAATTTAAAAATTTGAAAAAAAATATGCAAATGCGATCGAAGTCGTTATCTTTTCGTAAAACTCCACCTTGTTGTTTGCACGGTACATTTATCGCGAAAACAGCCGTGAATGGCCCCCTGCGGTATTTAGCATATGCTCTGAAAGGTTAATAGACACGTTTCACAGAAATATGAAGGACACAACTGACGTTTCCGAATATGAAGCGCGAATATGTAGCACGTCGCCCGTGACCGATTGTTCGATTTGATGCTGCGATTCGACCGGTACGAAATTACAGATTAACCGGTGCGTTTCGTCACGGCATCCTCCCGATGCGATGCCGCGATAACGTGATCCGTCGTAATCGCAGGAAAATTCTACGAGATCGCAACAAACGGGAGTACATTACAAATAAAGTAATTGCAGCGTGTATTCACAATTCCCGCTTTAATCTTATCTACTCGAGGATCTCGAGAGAATGATAAAAGGTACAATAAGTCAATAATTACGATCGTTGCAACCGGAGTATCCTCCTATGCGGTTCCTCTCGACGCGCGCGTAACTACTTACGGGACGCACACGAGTCAACCTTCGCGTGTTTTTCCAATCTCCCGGGGGGACAGTCGTAACGTAGGCACCGCTGCGCTAAAAGGTTTTCCTCCGGTCAGCTCCTGATCGAGCGCCAGCTCTCGTCGCGCGTAAAATTATCCCTCGAGAGAGCGGTAACGGATCGAGCGGCGGGATCTCGCGCCTGGTCTAATTGCAGCCAACGATGAGCCTGGACGACGAGAACTCTCCGGGTATGAACGTGGGGTGAAGCCGCGGGAAGCAGGAGGAACCGGGAAAGGCATAGGAGAAACGACGAGGAGGAAGAAGACGGAGAAGAGCAAAAGAGGGAGGGAGGGAAGGGGGATACGCCGACGATGCACTTAGCCTCTCTCTCTCTTCCTCTCTCTCTCCTGCCGATGGGAATCCGACTCCTCAGCTTCCTCGGCGATGCACACGGTGCAGCGTGCGTCGTGCGACTGATTCGCGCGTCCCACGCGGCCCGCCTTTTAAACGACCTTACGTCACGCCGCGTACGAGTCGAGCCTCCGACGGCGCGGCCGCCAATTCGACGGGAACGGCGTGGCGACCGCGACAATTGGCCGACGCGAGACACACACCCCGCGCCGGATTCAAATTTCCGATCCGTTCACGCGCGCGAGAGACAGAGAAAGAGAGAGAGAGAGAAAGAAATCCAGATCTAGGAGAGGCTGCGCTGTTGCTGACGCTGCGCGCGTTTTTCAGGGAACGAAAACAGATCTGTTTGCGTGTGGTCGGTCGGGCGACAATGACCGGGGGGGATTAAATCGCGGCTATCGTAGATAGCGCGCGCGAAATTTTTTCGGATGTCGTATTTTCGACGGTCACGGGAGATGGGCGTCTGTGAGAGATGGGAGAAGACGCTGGGAAGAAGCTTACGAAGCTTCCAGACAAAGGGGCGTAATGTCATTCGAATATCTGAGCGCGCTACGCGAAATCTTAAATATCACTTTTGACACGGCACGTATCTCGCGATAAGTCCAAGTTACCGGTATTAAAATTGCAGGATCTTTTCCAATCGGTGACGTTCATAGATTCAAGCTATTCTTAATATATCCCTCACGAATAAATAAAATTACATGAAGGATTATTATTAGAACTTTCTTAAGGAAAATGTCAGAATGCGAGAAAGAAACTACGCACGTCAACCGTACTCTGACGTCTTACATTCGTAATTTCTCCGTGGCTGTGGATACCCATGACGTCGATCGCTGGCGCAAATAGTGAAAGTATATCGCAGGAAAACGTGTAAAATTGTTGAGAAGTTTGTACAATTGACGGAAACGAACGTCGGAAAGGGCGTTTAAACATAACATCGTTCTACTTAGCGGGCAAAATTATTGCAACAATCGAAGGGTCTCTTTCCCTCGAAGAGCCTCGTAAATTCGCTCGAGACGGAGCAAAGTATAAATTTCACGAGAAGCCGTGACAAAACGATCATTCGTTTCGTGCAGGCAGGTAAAAAGTAGGCCGTGCGCCACGGTTCATTGACAGCAAGCGAAAATATACTTCAAGGTTACATCAACTAGATTCCGAAAGAAGATTAATTATGCCGATAGAATGTACAATGTAATAATCGCGAATATATATATCATCGTAGTTGTCCACCCCGTATAATCGATAATATTGCACGACAATTATCTTTTCGTCGCCGCGTTTGTTTCCGCGCGCGATAATAATCGTATCGACAGAAATCGTGACGGTTAAATAGAAGAAATGCATATACAGTCATTCTCGCCTATTGCGCAATCGAATGTTATATAATCCTTTTTATAATACTTTGAATCACCACATGATCTTTCCACTCACGTTCCTCGCGGATGAATAGGTCGGCAGTTACATTATTCCAAACGGCGACAAATACGTTATGCACATGTGCTTAACATTTGTTTAATTATTCGCCGTTCGTTACAAATTGCCCGAGGAACAAAGGGTGAAATAAGCGTGTGAATATTACTCATCGGCGGAATATAAATTGCTTTGTTTAAGAAAATAGGACATTGGTGATTAGATCGCGACTCACCTATTTTTCGATCATCCGCTCCTCTATCTCGATATCTTATCTCGTGTATACAATCTCCTCGGCAGAAAATTGGCACGATCGCTCTTCTGCCATCGCCGCACGCATCCTCGTGATGTCGAAATGATTTTGGACCAAGAATCGCGTCTCGCTTTACGTAATGCTCGCGCTCTTCCTTTTCCGAGCCCTCAAGACGATCCAAATACTCCGGCTTACAGATTCGACAGCTCGAGTCTCGATTTTACGCATTCGAGGACTTTTCCTATGGCCGATCGTAATTAAACGAGCCACAGGATCCTTGCGCGGTGCCAACGACTTGGTCCCGACAAGTTGGACAACGTGTAACATTACTTTCCGTTGCGTCATGCATTCGGACTTGGGGACTAACACCTAACACTACAGTTAAGTACGACCACGGTTATTTATCTCCCTAATGCGACGCGATTAATCGCATGTAATTAAAACTTTACGCTTTTGCGTAAGTCGTTAATGTGATTAAATCGCGACTGTCATGTTTTTTTTTTTTCATATTTGCGGCTTTTGCGGCGGTTGGCTGCTTCCGCACGTCCAACAGGAATATTCAATTTGTAACGAACGTAATTTAATTTTCTTATCGAAAACGCTGACAATTAATCTGTCTTATTCCCCGTATCGTTTAAAGGCGCTTCGTTATCTACGGTCGTTTTGCAGGTACGAATCATTTCTGATGCACGCGTATTTGCAAGTCTTTGGAGACAATTAAAGCGTTGTCGCGTGTTCTCCCCGTGACGAATGTGCGTTTGTCGAAGAACGTTTCTCATTAACGAGGTTAATTCTCGTTGCATTCGTTGGTCGCCGAGCAGAATCTGCTTTTCACGGAAAAACCAACTCGCCGGACACGCGATACTCTTAGACAATTAACTGACTTAACCTCGGCTTAACCGTTCGTTCGGCGAAGCGTGGAAGAGATTAATTGCCGTGGGTATAAACTTTCTTTTAATACTTTCCCTCATTGCTTCGCGAGATCAGCCCTGCCGCGCGCAATCGACGTTTCTTGCACTCCATTTTAATCAAATCGCGCGAATGTAAAAATTGCAAACTCAATTCTTGGTATTGACTTTTTTCTTATTTATCGTCGGAAATGGATGCAATTTTCACGGGATAAAAAGAAAATCAAAATTTCACGGACGCTGACGCAAAACCCGATTAAATCTATAGCAGAACCAATTACGAGTTGTATCATATTCTTAAAATAGAACTGAGTATATAGAAAATGAGTATATCGATAACATCGATAATAATTATCTATAGCTAGAAATTTCTAAACGATAGCTGCACACGTGACGTCTATTCTTGTAATTTAGACCTTAAAAGTGATATCCTTTCGATTACTAGCACCGTAGCATAGCAGATAAATATTATGAGGTGCTCTCCTGATGCTCTCGAGAGTGTTGGAACCGTCATTCTGCGCGAGATAACGGGTTGATAACGGGTTAGTCTTAATCTTATCATTAAGAAAATACATCAAGCGCCACGAACGAGATTGTTTGCGAGAATTGATTCGCATTGAAGGTGCATTAAATTTGCGCTTTGACAATGAAAAATTTCCATCGCCCTGTCGAAATCTCCTATTTGAACGCGAGATGCAAACTTTACGAGTCGTCATAAATTACACCTCGACGCTTTGAGATGAGTAATGCAGAAGAAGCAAGGATTTCAAATGGACGAGCAAAAAAAATTTATGGACATATCTAAACATAATGTAAAAGATATCAGCGGTGAAATCAACAGTACAACTTCGATTGTTAATTCAATCTCGATTCAATTGTCTTCGTTTACGAAGATTGTCAAATTTCAATCGTTGAAATCCGTTGATTTGTTTAAGGACAAACAACTCGCGCGATTGGAGACGCAAGATTCGAACACGGAGGCAGCCAAAGGTGGCACGAGAGAGATTGCGTTACGGCGCCTTCGCACTTACAATTAATCGCGACACGCCGCGGTCGAGTGGACATCGTTTTAGCGACAATCATTCTATTGGCTATTTTTAGCCGGAAATAGGTCGGTGCGCGGAGGGTTGGATGGCAATAAGAGGCCATGCTGAATAGTTTCTGCCGGCGCGGCGGGTGTCGTCGCCGAGCCACGAGGCTCGAATCACCGCTGCTCGAGAATCAATTATATCCTCATGGGTGTCTTTTCATCGTCACGTCTCTCGCGATTAGGATCTCCAGCCCGCGCGCGGCGCGTTAATGACATATTTTCTTGGTGTCTTACGAAAACAAAAATATGAAGAAAACCCGCGCGAAATTGCCCATAGCGGCGAACTGATGGGACGCTGTAGCTTCCGAATCGCATCAATCTGTCGCCGCAATTACCGCAAACGATGTTTTCACGGTGATTCATGACACCGGCGAACGTCGCTGTCGGAATATGAAGTATCTCCGCTAAATGTTACGCCACTAATTTAGATATACTTATCGCGATAAGTTTTCGACACCAAAGATCGTTCCAGATAAGCTTATCGCTCGAAGAAAAATTTAGATGTACATAATTAAGTATATACACTAAATTTGAGCCGATACGATATCCTCGATAAGAGGATCCCCGCGCGATATATGTTTAAGTTCGCTCATTAACATGGATTGATTAACGATGCAAGACAACGATCTCGAATGATGGATGCACGATGAATATATTTGAGTATGATGAGCTAGAAATCGCCGGTGTTTACGCATGTAACGACGGTCGTGCATCCCGTATTTATCTCTTTCCGGGAAACCCACTCTCCTTTTTTTTTCGTCGAGACTTGCTCGTCCAGTATGTTTACGCATAAATTTGGGATGCCAAAAATTATACTTAATTTTCCGGCAGACTCAGCAGTGATAAATTTCTATCATCTACATTCTATATATCTATTTCCTTTTACGCACAAATTTTGTAACAAAAATTGTTGCAGTGAAAAATCCTAAATGTTGCGTTTTGAATTTTAGAGTAACCAAAAAACTCGTTTCTTTCTGTAGAAATTAATAATTATTAATGTAATAATCAATAAATAGTTGATTGTGCTATGTATTAATTATAATTATATTCAGATATAGTAATAATTAAAATAATTAATTTTACAAATATATTAACATGTCATTCCGCACCTTTAATTCTTGAAATTAGGTCCAAGTCAGGCGCGCTCTCTCATTTTATTAGCAAAAAATTGACAAAGGATCGCAAGTGTGCGATACAATAATTTAAACTTGTGTCACCATGTGCAAGAATGAATAACATCTATCACGTTCATCAATCAACACATACACACACACGGGCTTACGTAAAAATCCTGTTTTTTTTTTTCATCGCACATTCAGGATCTTTCAACGCGAAGTTACACGATGGAGCGAACTACGTTTCTGTCTGACTAGAGACAGATTTCGATCTTTCCAAAAGCAATCAAT